AATTCATTCTATTTTAAATAATCGTTACTCTTTATTCTTATCTGTCAACTTTTCGTACAAAATTAAGGGTTAAACTAGGCATAACAACGACTTGCTATTTAATCTTTGATCTTCGTGATCCCCATGAGTTGCATCCTATACAGTTATACGGGACGCAAACTCAAAGTAATTACCATGACCTTAATGAGCACCTCTCCTAGATGGATGACATGTTAATTCCTTATGACTGATATTATCAACTTTAAGCTCTCATTAGAGCTAACCCAAAGGTTACGTGCGTATGTGAGTATGTACGTACGTATTTTCAGATATTTCATTATCTGCTGTCATTTTGTCATGTGATCCGTTTAACCGCAGTAATTACTGGTATAGAACCTTCCACGGCGATCATCTATTCCATAAAAAAAAATTTTTTTTTTGAATCGAGCAACTTTACTCTTTTTTAAGAGATCAAAAAATTCCCCCATCTTTAAAAATTTTTTATAGTCTTATATTTAGTTCAATGTTGATATTTACAAAAAATAGTTTCAAAGTAGAAAATTTTCCCATAAAAGATACGAATCATCAAAATAATCGATCTATTTTTCAACCAAGGTAAAAAATGTCGACTAAATTGGATTTTTTTATTAAAAAAAAAAAATAAAATTCTGAATTTTGGTTTAAAATAAATAGTCAACGGAATGATAATAATAATAATTGGTTAATTAAACAATCGTTATATATGCAGATGTCTGAGGGACAAATGTTAAATTATGAAGAAATATTGAATCATCTTGCTAAATATGATGAATTAATAGAAGTTCGTGAAGAAGGTGCTGAAATTAAAGAATACTTGGATTCTTTAACTGAAGATCAAAGGTATCGTATTGTATGAATATGTTATTTATTAGCTTTAAGTTTATTTGTATCTTTAAATAGATTTTCACTTCTTGCTCTTATTTTTTATTTTGTCATATTATTTTATTATTGCAGGCAAGAGTTTTACCCAACTGTTGATGAATTCTTACGGAAGTTACAATCTGAAGAAAAAGTAAAAGACCAAGATACCGAAATGGATGATGAGATTGTTGACAACAAAACTGAGGAACAACTAAAAAATTTAAAAATTAAGGTATATCAATTTATTACAATGCACGATTTAACTTATCCGTTTTTAGTTTTTAAAATTTCAATTTTTTAATTACACTTGGTTAGTCAAGGGAAAAGAGCTATGAAAGGCCAGGATTTGAAGGTCGTCATTTACCAAAATTAATACAGATGCTTGAACGTGGAACTACTGATAAACTACCAAAGAAATTCAAACGTAAGTTAGGGAAAAGGCAAATAAATCCTAGAGCTAATTGTAACATCAGAAAATATGTTGCAACTCACGGGTTTCAACCTTCTCCTATGCTTAACGAAGATGATGTATGAATCCTCAAATTTTGTTTTGCGTGTATTTTTAATTTGATATCTTCGTTTTATCTAAAATCTATTTCTAAAAATTGTTAAGTTGGATTCGTAGGTGGTGTATAGTTAGCATTAGGTTTTATTGTGTTTATTCTTTGGCGTATTTGTGTGATTGCTTATTTCTTCGAATAGACAAAAAAAAAAAAATAGCTAAATATAAATTTCTTCCAAAAAATTTAATAAATATCGTTATTATTTGATAATTCTTTTTATAAATATACATCGCCTGATCTTTTAATTAAATGTTTTATGACATTATTAATTCAAGAAATTTGAAGCTACGACTTATATTGCTTTATTTATATATCTTTTAATTAATCAAAGTTGTTTTCAAACGTTCATGGTTTATATAATGATCTAATTGGCTAAAATAATAAATCGTGACTACCTCTAATTGGCTGAACTTTAAATCCGCATTTGGGAATGATGATTG